ACCTCAGGGAAAGCGAAAACGTTGCACGGAAAGTACCCCCATGAGCTGAGTAAATCAGAAATCGACATCTCTGTGTTGCACGCATCGCTGCAGCATGGGGATCTCTTTTCAGAGACAGAAGCCTTCATGATAATTATCCAAGACCACCTCTGAACTACAGAAAACATATTCTGAGATATTCGACCATCCATTCCGACACATGTAGAAGGCCGCAAGCGAAACTATCCAACATTAGACAAGTGGACGTAGCGGCCACGCATAGTTGGAATATAAAAAGAGGCATGATGAAGTGACGAAGCAGGTCCATCAATTATTGGCAATGAAAATGGGCTTACTCGCCACTTCCGTGCCGTATTATAAACATGTTCTTAGAACGTGCTTGAAAGTACTCAACACACTCTCTACTGGAATCGCTCCATTATCACTGACAGACAAGCCTGCGGCAATAGAATTATCGATATATCACAACACAATACAACAAGAGAAACATCAAGAGAAGATCCAGAACTATGCGCCCATGAGCTCAGTGAAACTTCAGCAAAGTGACAGCCGTGCCAATTATAATATCAGCCACAGGAGTGATCACGAAATAGACACTTCGAGCACTAGAGTGTCTTCACTTGGATGCCAGGAGTACATACAATATGCAGAAGGCAGTCAACTTGAATAAATACCGTATTGTTAGAAACCACCTGAATCTTCAATAAAGCAACCGCACACCTGGTAATCATACCTGTGATGCCGACCAGTAAAAACTGTGAAGAAATAATAATAATAATAATAATAATATTACTATTAATAATAATAATAATAATAATAATAATAATAATAATAATAATAATAATAATAATAATAATAATCTCTACCACGTAAAACTAACAATGAGCAAATATATCTGTTGATATGTATTTTCTTGGTTGTCATCGTAAAGGAGCAAGGGGCAAATCGATAACTAGTTTCGCGCATGTTATTTAGTGATGATTATTTGAGACAGTCCGTTGCGACCCACCAACCAACAACCTCCCGTTCCGAAAAGAAAGAGAGGCTTTCCCCTGCGCAGGGAGCGGGGAGGGCGGGC